TTGTACTGTTACAGGACACCTTAAGACTGATAAGAGTTTACGACCCCAAAAAGGAATGTGCAGGAAATTGTGACTCTCACTAAATTCTTGCTGAGAAGGAGAAATTAACCCTTTTAATCCTATAATGTATATATATAATCATGCATGTGATAAATGTATTAACATGTATCAAATTTTCCATCTCACATATAACAGTAATATTGTATTTATTTGTGTAGCCCAATTCAATCTCTTTTGATGTCCCCCTTGGGTTTTTTTCTCTCTTCTCACTGTTAATCTCTTGTATCCTTTCATTTGCAATACAAAATTAATTAATTAATTTTAAAAAAAGATTATTTAACATACCTAAATTTGTGTCGCTGTACAGCCTCCCCCTAATGGATGCATCAGAAACATTAGGGGGCGTAAGACTGCCAGGGGCGTATATCTACCAGCTCTCCGTGAACCGGAAGTTGCAATCGACTTTATTTCAGTGTTGTGACGTATGTGTATAAATGTGTTCTAAAATATGTATTTTATCTAAAATGTTAGATCAAATATTTTTTTCTCATGAAAAAAAAAAACGTTTCAAAGCATAGATTGGATATAAAGTCACACAACAATGCAAAAAAAGTAAGATTTCTGAAGGATTTGAATCATTATATTTCATGGTAAAGTTTAGAGATAGAGAGTGGGGAAATGAAAATGCAATTTTTTTAGGTTTTCTATGTAATTTGTATTAATGTTTTTAATTATAAATTTGTAGTTAGCTTAATGTTCAGGACATTTTGCTTAAATAATCTACATAATATGTCCAGGGGACAGAAATGTTACCCTTTCGGTCGAATGCTAAATGAGAAAAATAGAGGGCGTGGCTTGTTTTTTCCAACTGGAACCTGATTGGATCTAGAAAAGCACCCCTGTTTCACAGGTAACAGTCTATCTTCAGAATTTAATTTACTATTTTCCAGGTCCCTGAAGGGAGTGATAGGAACCTTGAGCACATCTCAGTACAACATGGTTGTCACCCGGCCCAAACGATTCGTCGACCTTAAATGCCTGCAAGTCCCCCACCCTCTTGATGGATGCCAGTGCAACCAGCAGCAAAGTCTTCATGGACAGAAGCTTTAAGTCTGCTGATTGCCAAGCCTCAAAGGGAGCATCCTGGAGAACGCGAGGCACCAGAGAAAGGTCCCAAAAGGGTATGGAGGGGGGTCGAGTAGGATTTAACCTTCTCGCTCCCCTAAGGAACCTGACGACCAGGTTGTGCTTTCCTACTGTTTTGCCATCTATGTGGTCGTGATAAGCTGAAATAGCGGCAGCATGTACTTTGAGGGTGGAGGGAGACCCAACCCTTGTAGCAAGAAGGAAAGCACGGTCCCTATCGAACATCTTCAGAGGGTCCTCTCGGTGAGAGGAACACCACTTGACGAACAGGTTCCACTTCAAGGCGTACGCACGTCTCGTAGACGGTGCCCGTGCCGAAGTGATAGTGTTAAGTACCTCTGGGGGTGAGTCACCTAGAACCTCTGCATCCCGTCCAGGGGCCACACATGGAGTGTCCAGAGGTCCGGACGCTGCCAAAGGGTGCCCCGTCTCTGAGTTAGTAGGTCCTGCCTCAGAGGAATGGGCCAGGGAGGGACTGTCACAAGGGGCATGAGTTCTGGGAAACAGGTCCGGGTGGGCCAATAGGGAGCCACCAGAAGGACCTGCCCCTCGTCTTCCCTGACTTTGCACAGTCTGTGCAAGTAGGCTCACTGGGGGAAATGCATTTTGTTCCCTCGGTCAGGGAGTAAAACAGCTGGCAGTGGGATGCCTCTGAGGAGGCAAACAGGTCTACCTGAGCCTCCCCAAACTCCCTCCAGATCAGCTGAACCGCCTGGGTCGCCATTCTCCCGGGATCACAGCTCGTGATAGCTCGTTGGCCGGGGACATGCATGGCGCGAAGTGACCTCAGATGCTTCTGACTCCAGAGGAGGAGATGGCGGGCGAGTTGCGTCATGCGACGAGAGCATAGATCACCTTTTCGGTTTATGTACGCAACGGTCACAGTGCTGTCCATACAGACCAGCACGTCCCTGCCCTGTAGTGCCCTTTTTAAGCGGCAGAGAGCGAGACCTATACTGCTAGCAACTCGAGGCAGTTGATGTGCCAATGCAGTTGGAGGCCCGTCCACAACCCTGACACTGCATGCATGTGGCAGAGGCATCTGTGAATACCACAGCATGCCTGGACACCTGTTCCAAGGGCACTTCTGCCCGCAGGAACGAGGGGCCTGACCACGGGCTGAAGGTTTGGTGGCACGCCGGTGTGATTGTCACCCGCTGCAAACCAATCTCGGGGACAGATGCATTAAAAAATACGTCTCTGTGTGAGCATTTTGAATGGAAGCTTGTGGAAACTCAGATTCAAAACTTGCAGGTCCAAGATCGGTCGTAACCCACCGCTTTTCTTTGGTACAATAAAGTAGGGGCTGTAATACCCTGACCTCATATCGGCTGGAGGGACCGGCTCTATCGCATCCTTCACCAGTAGGACTGCGATCTCTGCTCGCAAGACATGGGCATCGGCTGCTCTCACTGTAGTGGAGTGAATGGGCCGAAACTTGGCTCGGGAGGCTCTCTCTGGGAGGTGGCCCGTAGCGGGTTTCTGAGCTTGCTGTGCAACAATAACCTGGTTCCATGGGGCAGCAGGTGCAGAAGGAGGCTTGGTTGCGTTCCCGAACTGCACACTGCTGCCCGCTGGCGATATAAGAGGCAGATAAGAGTGGTGAGGATTCTCTCTTCCCACTGCTCTCCGGGCCCTCTTCAGACCCAGGGATAGAGGAACTGCTCTTTTTTTTTTTTTTGGTTCCCACTGTGACTCCAGTGGTAGAACAGAATTTTGACTCAAAAGATTTGTTTCCTGGCCCTCCACCGGGAGAGAGCAGCTCCACCCATCTCCAGGTCACCCATCTCAGGGGTGATTGTTTCACCGACCACTTAACAGCGGACCTCCTGCGGCGGACAGAGCAGGCTGTGCCGTGAGTATTTTTTATTTTTTTTGCAGGGGATGACACCCTTGGCGACGAGTAGACTGAGGGGCAGCCCACGAGGCACTCTTGTGGTACGTCAGGGGAAGCGCTTATGTCTGTTGCTGACTGCGAAGAACTGCTGGGCTAGTCCTCAACAGTGTTGCAGAAAGGCCACCTTGTGAGATGGGAGCATCGAGAAAGCGTACTTTGACGACCTCTCGCACCTCTGCAAAGACAGCCAGGAGCGCTTCTGGATCACCAAGTTGGACATTGTCTGACCGAGGGCCTGCGCTGTGATTTGATCACAATCAGTCTACAAGCGCAGCTCAACCCCGGCTCAGAACTACCCTCGTGCAATAAGAGTGCCTTGGCCTCGCATGCAGGGCAGAGGTGGCCTGACAGAGGCACAGCCACCCCATCATTGAGGCTACTGAGAGAGGTGAAAACTTATACAGAATTTGGCACTTTTGGCATTCTATATTTTGGCACCAATATAGCTCCATACTGCTAAGTTTTCAATGCACATCCAAGAAAGCCCTGGGAATCCATGACTGTCAGCTCTGAATCTGATTCAGCATAAGTACACACACTATTACAGTGGGAACTCAGCATCATCCTCATTTCCAGAACGAAACAGCCACCTCTCTCCAATGCAGCAATCTACATCTGCACTCAGCTGGAGCTGGAAAAAACTCTTTCCACAAACACATATTAGACTTCTCATCTGCATGAACCTTCAGGTGTTTTTCAGAATTGATGTTGAAGTAAAGTATTTACCACCCTGATCAAAGATAAATGGTTTTGTTCATTAGATCGGTTTATTCTTCATAATTGCATGTACTATCAAAACACAATGTGGGAGCTACAATAAGTAAATCATATGAATATATCTAATTCAAGAAAGATCTACTCAGGACACGACCCATCCTGACAGATTTTGCAAACTAACCAGAAGGATAGAAATAGATCATTATTTACACGGCAAGAATTATTTTCTGAAGCTTTTAGTTTAGCTTTTAGAAACACTCTTCTAGTTCCCTGACCAGACTACAAATAAGCCTTTCTAGTTCTCTAAGCATTTCACCAAATTCACAAAGTTAAAAAAAGATGATATTATTCTTTTGGGAGCAACTCCAAATTTTGTTCAATTCACAACATTTACTTGCCAATATTATACATGAAAACTAAATGTTGCTCATTGTGATGACTTATGCAGGGTTTGAAATGAAATTTTTCACTCACCGGCCAATTTGGCTAATCATTTTTTTTTAAGTTAAAAGTAAAAAGTTACCGGCCATTCATAACTTCTACTAGCCAAAAAAAAAAAGAAAAAGAAAAGAGCCTAAAACTAAATCACAGCGTATATATAAATTTTTGGGGGAGTTTATTCATTAATTTCTTATTCAAACAAAATCCTGTCATCCAGCCATCTTCTCCCTTCCTCTGTCATCCTTTTGATTGATTAAAATCTTTATTTCGAACTATTAAAAAGAAAGAAACACATAAATGAAATATACAAATGAGTAAGAAAAAAAAGAAAAAAATATACAACAAAATAAACAAACCAATATTTCAACATAATACTCAACCCATCCTCATCCTTTTCACCAACAATGTGTTTCAGGTGGACAGATCAATACAGTAGAAAGAACATAAGAAAAATGAAGGATGTTGGAAAATAGCAATGTGTCTTCTATTAACCAAACATCTTCACTATTGCTTCAATGCAAATGAACAAGCGTGCCGTTATTTGTTGCGTAGTGACGTGTGTTCAAGTAAGCCAAATATGAGCAGATTCTGCGCAATATGCTGTTATTTAATATATCATGATGACTCACAAGTTGAGTTTTTGCGCTAAATCTGTGCAGATTTGGCTTACACGAACTTCACCACCAGTCAGTGTTGGCGTTAATTTCAAACCCTTGACTTGTGATAGTTCATCATGTGACTGAGAAACTCTTGTAACTCTTCTACAGTGTTACGTGTACAGTAACACGTAACAAGTACAGTGTTACGACTTCTCTCCAGTATGAACTCGCTCATGTGATTTCAGGTTTCCAAACCGAGCGAATCTCTTGTCACAGTATGAGCACTTGTGATGTTTTTCTCCCGTATGAATTCTTTGGTGCTGTTTCAGATTGTCAGCTCTAGTAAAGCTCTTCCCACAGTCACAACACACATTATCTCTCACTTCATTATGTGTTTTCTGGTGCACTTTAAAACTGTTCAGTCGTGAAAAACTCTTTCCACAGAGAGAACACACATAAGGCTTCTCATGTGAATGAACTTTCAGGTGTTTTTTTAGTTGTGATGATGAAATAAAATCTTTACCACACTGATCACAGTGAAATGGTTTTTCTCCAGAGTGAATACGCAGATGATGACTGAGAGATGATGCTTGAGAAAAACTCTTCTCACACTGACTACAGTAGTGCGGCTTCTGTCCAGTATGAACTCGCTCGTGTTCTTTCAGGTTTCCAGAATGAGCGAAACTCTTGTTACAATATGAACACTTGTAAGGTTTTTCTCCAGTATGAATTCTTTGGTGCAGTTTGAGATTTTGAGATGTGGTTAATTTCTTCCCACAGTCACAACACACATGATCTCTCACGTCATTATGTGTTTTCTGGTGCAGTTTAAAACTGTTCAGTCGTGAAAAACTCTTTCCACAGAGAGAACACACATAAGGCTTCTCATCTGAATGAACAGTCAGGTGTTGTTTTAGACCTGATGCTCGAGAAAAACTCTTTCCACACTGAGTGCATGGATACGGTTTCTCATGTGTTTTCTAAGGTCTCCTTTTTGACTGAAGCTCTTTCCACACTGAGTACAGGTGTGCAGCTTTTTGGCCTTTGTTTCTTGAATCTTAAAGTCATGTTGTTCCTCCTTAATTTTCTTCATTTGTTGTCTTTGCTCTTTCACTTCCGTTCGATCTAAAATAAACATAAAATTAGAATCAGTTCAAGTGAACCCTGATTTAACCCCTTAAACCCGAAGTGTACTGCCGGAGCAAATGTGAGAATGTCCAAATGTAATGTATATTTTCTAAAAATGTATAATGTATATTTTCTAAAAATGTATAAAGTATTCTATCAAACAATACCTACCCTTTGACTATTTTGGAGTCTTTAGTTTTGTGTATGTCACTAAAAAAACAACAACTCTAAAATGCCCTCAGGGTTAATAGCAGAAAGCAACAGTTTAGTTCTGTCAATCTTGTTAATATGATCAAAATGAGTTTGATAATTGTTATAGCCTACAAGATTATGATTAAAAGTACATAAAAGTTTAAAGGTTAAAATTATATACGCATTTCGAATTTTTCATTCATATACTGCTTATTAATTCACAGCTAACAAAGTAATGAAGAATCAAGAATAGACACCAACCTATTTGTTCCTCATGATCTTCATGTTTTATTCTGGATGGTTCTGGATCACTCATGTCTTCAGTCTCCTCTTTAATAAACTCCATCTTTAACAGTCACACAGATTTCAGCTGCTCCTGGAGTTTGTCCTTCTCTTGTGGGATGATGGGAAAATTCCCAGTATTTATTGGTGAATTGTTGTGGGAGGGGCTTCACTGCAGGTGTGAACTGCGATCACTGTGTGATACTGACGCCCACAGGACCAGATCTGGAAAAATCAAAGATAAGTTACTGAATTTATGAATTTATTACTTTAACAGCAAAACACACGTGGTGCTTCAAATATATTTAGCTCAAATATAGAGCATTTTGAGTTACATATTAGTTAGGGCAGCTCCAGGTTGCTTATTTTTATGGTGCAGGTTGGTTGCTTATCAACCCAGAATATTATAAGGATGAAACACGACATGTGTTATATTTTTATCTAAACTAATCAGAAATCTAACATAAGACGACAGAAATCCACTTAATGCAGACTGAATAGAGGAGGTTTGTAGTATAAGTAAGAATTGTTTTTAAAATTAAATCCTACATGTTGCTTCGGTAGCAAAGTTGTTTTGAAACAACGCCAATGTCTGGTAACGTTATAAACTGTACAAAGACAATAAAAATACTGTTTAAACAACTTTATCGTTCAAATAATATAGTTTTGACAAAACAAATTATTATAAAATGATAAACCTCACATTTGAGTCTAATTAATGATTATAGAATTAAAGTTATATAAACAAACTGAAAGAAAATGCAAATTCTCTCTCTGACAGAAGGTGGCGCTTGTGGAAAAGCAGAAATACAGCGGTTACTCCTGAACACAAGCAGCGCTGCGCTTATAAACACTACTTTATTAGGATCACTGAGGAAAGATAAACGGAGATGCCATCGAAACTTTTATGAAGACAGTCATTTCCCTTCAGATATACATTCAAATAAAAACTCCTCAGATCTGAACTAATCACGTGAATGGTCGATTTCAATGTCAGAAAGAGAGTTTGCAGGTTTGGTTTCTGTAGCCTTTAATAGTATTTTTAGTCATGTACTTTAAGCTGAGGAGATAAACGTTAAAAACACATTGATAGGTGATTAACACACAAAGTGATGATCCTGTGGTTTGTCTGACACTGATGACGTGCTTGATGTGCCAATTTACAGAAGATATCAGACATCAGCATAATGAATGAGGTGAAAACAGGGACTATTGAACGAGATAAAGATGATTTTCAGCAGCTCAGTTAAACGTGTTTGTCAGACTGTTAATTTGCTAATTGACATTGTTTTGCTCTAGGGCCTTTTCTCAATTGTTAAAAGATCATTCAAGAGTACATTCATCCACTATTGAAACAAGTAAAAGATGTGTTCGACTTGAAGCGGTGCTGCACAGACTGATCGATCACAGTACTTTACCAGAAACTTCAGAGAAATTATCATTCTCACTAAAGAAATGTGACAAACGTATTTATCAAAAACTGTCAAACTTAAAGTAACACTATGTAGTTTTTCATCCTTCATAATATATATCCAAGACCCTTGTGATGATACATCGACTTAAAATAAGTTAAATGACACGTCTGCCATAGCCTGACGTGGTCTGTATCGCTTTTACTGGCACTATGTAACTTCGGGTTTCGTGTAGGAACCCGTGCACAAAAAGAACTACAAAATTCAACTGCTTTACGGCATACGTCACTTCCTCCACCACTTCCTCAAATTGTCTGTGGCCTTTGCAGACATCCCAAGTCTCCCGGGAGTCTCCCGCATATTGATAGCGTCTCCCTGATGCCCGAAAATTAGTTCAAATCTGCCGGAATCTAGAGCGCGCATGCGAGACAGAACATACTGCGCGCATAACATACCGAGCATGGCAGAGAGGGAGGGAACGAGAGACCTTGCGAGTGTGCCTCACGAAAGCTAGTCAACCCGCCGCCCCGCAATACTTGGTGTTGCTTTAAAGCACGTTTTACATGAACAGTTACACTTTTTTCCAAAACAAACTTATTTTCTGTTTATTTCTAATACTTGCATATACTTTCAGAACACAGAAAATAAGTAAATTACATGAATATATTAAAATCAATTAAGACCCATTTAGCACACGACCCATCCTGACAGTTTCTTTGCCAACTAAACATTAGGAAAGAAACAAATAATTATTTACACTTTTTTTTTAAGCTTCAAACACTCTTTTAGTTCCCTGAAGTCTTTTTTTAGATCTCTAATCATATCTCCAAATTCTCAAAGTTAAACTAGATATTGTTCTTTTGGGAGCAACTCCATATTTTGTTCATCTCACAATGACTTATGATATTCATGTGCCAGAGAAATCTACATGAATATCTAAAACTCTTCTCACACTCAGGACAGTAGTGCGGCTTCTCTCCAGTATGAGGTTACTTTAACATCAAATGTAGACTTTTACTCGAGTCTCCTGCTTCTTGCCTGCGCCTACCAGTGTTGGGGAAGTTACTTTTAAAAAGTAGTGTAACCCGTTACTCGTTACTTCTTAAAAAAAGTAATCGATTACTTTACCTAGTTACTCCATAAGGAAAGTAACTTTTTACGTTACTTGTTACTTTTACGTTACTTTTATGTTGCTTGACTTTGGGCAGAACACAATATCTGTTTCTAAATGTGTAGGCCTACATAAAGTTCTACTATGCATAATGCCATATATAAGGCCATAAATGCATAATGCATTTATCAAAACTTTGAATATTTATGAAGAAATGCCCGTTAATGGATAGGCATATGCATGGGCGGCGCTAGGGAGGGGCTAGAAAGAAAGCCCCCAAGAAAGACCAAAGGTCCCCGTTAGCACCTCCAAAAATAATTTCTGGAAGCAATTATATTCAGGCTGTATTCTATGGAAGTCCTGAACCGCATGGTGAAGAAAAAAATTAAAACTTATCTTGTTATTTAGACACAATAAGGGGACATTCTAATCTGCATTAAGCCAAATTAAGCGTTCTTCTTATAATGGTTATTCTATGGAAGGAAAATGCGTAACGTGTAATTAAACACGTTCATATTCGGGCTCATCTGATTTTTTTTTACATAGACTAGCCTACTTTATTATGATTTTAGTATCATAATGATTAATAAATGCACGCACAATTATTCGTGAACTTGATAAATGTTGCAGATATGTTTTACACGTAAACAAATGCCTTTCAACTTATGTGTGCAAAATTCAGAATTAAATGAATGTGCAGCAATTTGTACAAATAGAGAGTCTAGGGCTAGGCCCAAGTGTTGTAGCCATTAAATAAGCGCATTTAGTTTCATATTTGTTAAAATATTATAATGTTATTTTTTCCATCTGTGTTGATTATGAAAAGTGAACAGCATGAGTAAGATGGATGCGCAATATATCGGGAGACATTGGCCCTCATTTATCAAAAGTGCGTACACCAAATTTCCAGCGTACACCTGGCGTACACCCAAAACCACGGTGACTTTGAGATTTATCAATATGGACGTTGGCGTACGGCACGCTCAAATCCTACGCCAGCTCAGGAGGTGGTGTACGCACGTTTTGAGTTAGTGCGGAAATGCGCAGAAAAACAATTCCTAATACCACAAAATGCACGGACAAACTAAAAGATATGATATATTATGACCAACAACAACAACATAATTATAAACTTCAGTGTTTATTTTTGTGCAACATGGACTTCAATGTTTAATTTGTGTGACTTTACCAAAGCATTTGATTTGTAGCCATATGTATTCCTTGAGTTGCGCTTTACCCTGACGTTTCATGGTTAGGCCGGCAGGTGCGCACGGACTGGGTTCGGTAATGAAAGGCTTTCAATGACCAAAAAATAATTCAGACTGATAAAATAATAAAAAATACATTCTTCTTCTTTTAAATAATAATAATAATACAAATAATAATAACGACGTTCTTCTTCTAAATAACAATAAGCGTCATTAATAATAAAAATCATAATAATAAGAATATTACAAATTGTCATGCAATTATTAATGTGAATGAATGGTACTCCACATCACATCATCATCATCACTAATGTACACCCCAATACATGTGACGTGATTCGAAATTGAATGCTAATTGTTTCAAAAGACGTGCTGTAAAATAATGCACTGTGATAGGTCATTTCGGCTCCACGTCGGAGA